TTAAGTGGAAAGGGTATATTGGTCCAACGAAATAAAAGGCATTGTTCAAATAAAAGCTTAGCTTTATTACTCGTTATATTCACGAAGAAACATCCCTCACTGTTAGACATCAACAAGTTCTGATGCTGACATTACTATGACAGATACGACTTATGTTTCACCGTTTCAAATACTCAATCGAACAATTTTGATAATTTTGATCAACAAATTTAGAACCGCCAATATTATGTCGATATACGAACGTTTGTAACAATCTGTCGGTCTCGCGACCGCAGATATACAATTTAGATACAATTTTTGTTTCACAATAAATTACTCATCTTTATGTCTAATACACCAAACAGTGGTTAGATCCTAAAACATTCACGGACAAAGACACACGCTCGTAAATTATAAGCATTATGACAATGTGATATTATATTAATGTATAAGTATTGTTGTATTATTAAGAACCGTAATAATTAATGCGTAGTTAGGTTAGGTTAGTAGTGGTGCGTGACATTAGGTATTACTTGTCTCAGGCGCACAGATTACAATAGTGACCATCTAGCAGCCATTCTAAGACAAATACCGAGGAATCGTTTACAATTTATTTTTGTTTACCTTTCACCTTAAAATTGCTTTTAAATTTATCTTTTTTACATCCAGAACCATATAAACATCTTTGAGTTATTTATATATTTTTTTTATCTATATAAAGGACCGGTCGCTCCGTCGCCCCGGTGCCGAGTCGGTCAACTTTTTATTTACAAATGGTTAATGCTCCTAAACGTTTAATATCCGACGCTATTCTTAAAATTAAATACAAAAAACGCATGACACTCTAAATTTATCTAATGTCCCATTTTGTCATTGCTATAATTTACGAAATTTTGATCTTTACACCAACTTTAGAAATATTCAATACAAAAATACTCTTTTTGAATAAAATTTTATACACGACTCGTTACATTTTCGGCCCGGGGCGAGGCGACGGCGCGGCCGCCTCCAAAGAAAAGCTTTGAGCCTCGTAACCTTAACATCATGAAATTTGTACTAAATATATCGCAACGAGCAGACGCGGAACCATATCACTTAGCCAAAATGCGAGGATACCGAAACGACGCCTAAACACTAGTCAAATTTCAATTCGATGACCCGCGGTTTCGTGCCCACCACGCTTACGGTCTCCGGCGACACTGTGCGGCGATTGGCGCAGCGCGTGGACACAAAATTCGGAGTCACCTTAATATAATTTCGTTTTACAAATTTTGTAACTAATTTTATCACGAGGTATCCACGTCAGCTCGCCGTAGTTTACAAATATATTAAAACGAATTGGCGCCACAAACGTGGACTGCATTTCACCAAAAACCGAATTTAATACACTAAATACATTGTACACAATATTAATTCAAAATGAACATATCGCTGTTACGAATGAAGACCACAAGGATATTAAACATAACAATATTATTATATTACTTTCGGGAAAATAGAACATATTGAACATAGGTAGAAGACCTACCTGGTCTTACAATATAATTTGATAAATGTTGATATAATTTGTTCGTACAATCAAAAATTTGGGTAAACGAGCTTATCGTACTAAATTTATATGATAAGCGTCGGCAGTATTTGTTATAAGACTTTCTAATAGTATATCCGTGCTCAGTTTTTTTTTTTAATTTTAACCAGATACAAACGAATGATACTTATCATAACTACCTAATTTCATCAGAATTTCCCTTATTGAAATTTTTCACGTATAGAAATATTGATACAGCTATTTGGTACACCTAAATGTTTTCTAATTTTCACAAATGAATCGCTACATACAATAGAGTCTATTACAATTTCGAAAATTTAGGAACCATAATACCCAAACGTGAAACCAAACACATTCTACATTATATTGTTATATTTATAATAAATTTTGGAAATAAATACATATTTATTTCATACTACATTGATAGATCGAAACATTTCGTAGACGGACTCGAAAATATTAAAAATGTAAAGTAAAAACGTTAGATACAATATCTGAAACAGAAATAAACTATCATCTAAATACATAATTTCCATAAAGGATAAGAACCGATATCGCCAAAAGGACAATTTCAATAAATCTACATACATAGGTAATAATATATATAAACGTGAGTTTTTTAAAGTCAACACCGAACTTTGTACTTTTACTGTGGGATAGCCCCCATGATCACTGCGGACTAAATATTTCGATGTTTTAAACTCGAGTCTTTACATTAATATAGAAAAATTGTCAACCCATAACTTACAAATAATGCGTACACCAATTAATTTTGAATCGGTTCGATCACATATCCATTGTGGTCTCGTAGTGGCTGCTGCACAGTGCATCACTCAAGTATAAAATCCGGATCAAGATGTAAACAATAATTTAACAAATTAAAGTTAAAACTACATATTCTCACGATTTTCTTATCCAAACATATCCTAAACATTAACGGCTCCAAGTATCTGCAAATTACGGCATCTCGGTTATATACTGTTGATGGAAAATCAATACTTTTCTATTGTAATATGTGTTGTAAAGCCTGCATTAACTTCTAGTAGATACGAAGAAATCTATGGAGAGATCGGAATAACGGATATTACTTACTATACAAGGAATTAAGTACATGATTAATACCAATTTAGAGCTAAAAAGTTACCAGCTAACTTATTTTCCAGCACAATTACTATATGTTAGAAGCCTCACTCTGACTGAACAGTCACCGAATTCATACCGACTCACTTAAATGTAATCAATTCCATCCATCAATTCAAATTACTTTGAGATAATGTAGTCAGTAATCGTCTAATCGTCATATATCCTCTCCTTAGCTCTAAAAAGGGATATCTAATGGTACGATTGAAACAAACAACATATAACAAAACACAATGGTAACGTAACATGGAACGATGCTCTATCTCGAATAAGCCCTGCGGCGACTGCGTGCATGCTTACTAAACGACGCGAATCGTGGAAAATTAACCCGGGCTATTGATTCTGTATTTATTTGGCTGATATTGGGTATTGGTCATCACTACGCAATCGAAATATCTGTTTCGATCGCTTAATATTGACCGGGAAGAATTTCGAACTAAAAACCATTTCTCCTAACGACGGGGGGAAGCTGCGTGTAATCATTTACGTGTCTATGTCTTGAAGAGTTCCGTATCTCTCGGCTAACCTGAACTATATTCTAAGCATACCAGTCGACGCCTGGTCCATCCTAAACTGAGGTAACCTTATATTATTGTAATAGATCAAAATGGTTACAAATGAAACGATAACAATCGTGTAATATCAAATGAAAAATGCTTACACTTGCTTAGCTAAGGCCGGCCGTCTGCCTAGCGCAGGTTACAGTACCAAAAACTCAAGATGGCTTAATATTTGTACAATTCCGCAAATCAATTCGCAATTTTCCATTGTTTACTATTGAGCCTTACGTAAATACCATTAGCACTAAGATAGTTTACCGATTATCATCTTTTCTGTATTAAAACTATTGTATTATGTACACTTGTGATATATGACATACAATATGATATCTCTGTACAACTATCTATCTTATTAGTTTAAGTCTATTTGAGAAGCGAAATAATATATCTCTGTCCTGATGAAATGAGGATGTGAACAGAAAGTGTGACCGCGTAGCAAGGAGGACGGCCGGCAACTACATGTTATAACAAATACATCGAGATATGTGGTCCTATGAAGCTTGCTACCTAATAACTTTATGCATCTCATATTCGGTACCACTCTATACTTCTCACCTGTGTAAAGCATACCTATCATTAGAGAACAAGCTTCGAGGAATCCACGCTACATATATCTACGAATCAAACTAATTATTTTTCTATAGTATAGTAGTAAGTATATACTGACTGTTCGATACGGTGAACAAATAATGCGTGCGCGTGTTGGTTATGTAGCGTGAGTACTTCGCGGCGACTTCGGCTGGGCAGTAGGTTCTATTGAGGGCCCTTTGTTATTAATTTCATATTAACTTTTCTCGTAAAAATCAACATTTCTTTGAAGGCACTTCTGATCGGACGAGGTGGCCCAGTGCAAGTTTGTGGATATCTGACTCATGCCAAATGTTGTGAGTGCTTTATACTGTATTGATTTCGGAAGGATTTCTGTTTGTTAGAATTTGTTGCCTTCGATTATTGTCCTTGTTTTGCTATGTATTCGTGTCTATGTCAATGAGAGTCGCCGCGAAACAAACGCGTGCGGAGCGAGTGCGTTACCACTGAGGTATTTTGAAAAAATGTAGGCAAAAATATATCATGATAAAGTTGAAACTGTCAAAAAAATTACTGTATATATGGTACTATGTTGTATGTAATATTATAAGTTTTGTATAGATCTAGCTAGAATAATCAGACATTAAAAATAAACTGAACTAAATTACATAATATATGGGGAATAATGTAACGCTCCGCATATAAATTACGATGTTATAGTAATGCGCGCACGCATCATTTTGGAAAATAGTATTTTATCTAACAAATAAACTTAACCCTATGTCCGGAGCAAATTTATTTCGCAAATATCCCGGACTAACTGAGAATGCGACCCGAATCTTGTCGAAATACTAAATATGAAATCAAGATGTTGACATGAATTTCAAATAATGATGTATAAAATTATTTTTGAATTTTGTGGCTGTATTATATTTATTGTATTGATAATCTCTCTGCAAGAACTTAAAACCGGCTATCAGTATAAAAATAAAAATCTTTAAAAATCTTTGTTTGTGGATCGAAAAATAACCCTGCTCTATTGTACTAACGACTATGGTTAACGTTAATTATTCCTAAAATAATTATGACGAGGTAAAGGTTGACAATTTTGGGCCACACTAGGCAGCCTGTATAATCAAACACTACCAGGAATAAATAAACTTAAACGTGATCCAAAGGACTAGGAAACAAGGAAAAAATAAAATAAAAACAACAAAACTTTCAAAACTTAAGCAGTTAATATATTAATCGTTTTTTTCCTTAGAATAAATCAATAAATGATTTTATGATATACACAACTATAAAAACCATTTTAAGATAATACTTAATAATAATATAATAATAATTATATATAGCGAAATATATTATGTGCAGAAATAAAATTCTAGGTGACTTAAATTTTCTCTTACTCGTTTAACCTAATGAATTTCCTAGGAGAGCGCGGGCCACGGCGTGGCTCGGCTGGAGCCGGCCACACCGCTCGACGTGCAACGTACAAATTCAATTTTTTTAATAATTTAAATTTAACTTTTTTTATCGATAATTTTGAATCTGAAGGCCTAAATGCGAGTGTCGTAAAATTTTGGTGTGCGAAACAATCGTCCAATGAATTTCATATTTTGTCTATAAAATTAGTTATGCCGAAACAATGTGCATCGAATCGAGGCGGCGCTCACTCCAACTGTTCAAGAAAGTTGGGTGACTTGAAGTACTCTGGCACCGGGTCGTCGAGCCGCGAGATCACCTTGTAGATGGATTTCTTCCAGCTCTGTTCTGTATCCTTCCCGCTTTGGATGGCGCGGAAGAACTCGCGCAGTGTCTGCTCAACCACATATCTGAAGTTGGGCGGCACCTGCAATTGAAAATTACTCATATAAATAAAAATTACGAAAATAGTTTTAGAGCTTCCCTTGAGGACAACTGCACCTATTTGGCTAATTCTTTTTTTTTTTAGGTGATTTTGTAATTGTAAGAAAGTACTACAAAACGTATGAAAAAGTGTATATAAAAATACTGACAGAATTGAATAAATTGATAAATTGAAGTTTAGTTGTTAAGGTTCTTACATTGTTATTGAGAAATTGACTTTCAAATCTACCGATGTTTAGTTTCTAATTTTTTTTTTTTAATTATTTCCACACCCATCCGGAACCGAGGCGAGAAATTAGTAGGATACGATTAGGGAGCAGATTTATAGGATGAGAAATCATTAGTTATTGAAAATATAAATATTTTGGGAAAAATTTCAGATAATGATGATGTTTCTCTTACTTACCTCAATGTGGTTATTTCTGTTGTAGTGCAAGTTAAGAACCCTGTACAGTTCTGAGTCGCCAGCGACGTGGAGGTCATCAGCCGCCTTTAGACCTTCACTGATCGCCTGCCGCGCGTACTTCTCCATTTGAATATAATAGAACTCCCTGCAAAGATAGAAATACACATTTTAGTAATGATGCTTATTAACAACACATCATTTTAGATATAATACAATATTCGTAAACTTACATATTAATAATTTTTAAATTAAATGAGTCTTAAATTTTTACGTAACTGGAATGACGTATCAGGTTTGTACCTAACAATTCTTGAAGAATAAGTTTGCTTGTAATTTGCTATCATATCTTAGTCTCCAAACTGAAATAACGCAAGCTAGGTACTTGGCCGTAGAAATAGATGAGACAGAGATACATCGACATGCAACTCTATATAAAGCCTACCTCGATGTCAATCTAGAATGAAATTAACTGTATAGATAGTGATGGCATCAATTAATCTAGTGCTATGTGTACGTAGACTGTGGATACGTGATGGCATCAAGTATCTACAGGGTGACACTTCACAGCACAATGAAAATAAAAAGCACTTGAATCCCGTGGAGAGCGGGAAAGGATTTGATTAGCTATTTTCTCTCCGCTTGGCGTGTCGCATCGTTTCGCTATCTTCGCTTCGGTTCGCTTACGAGAGCGCGTTGAGCGAATCGAGAGTCTCGCGAGGCTAATTACTTACGAGTTCGCATTCAGACCGGGCTAATTCAGTTTCGCGTTCCTGCAAGTGACGCGTGGTTGCAGGTTTTCAAGGGTTACGAGACTCAAAAGGAAAATGGCAACTGTTGGGTACTTGCATACATACATCTACAATATGCATACCTACATACGTTGGTATATTTGCTTCTTTCTATCACCTATCTTTATGTAACTGTTTTATGACAGATGTTTGTCTGTTTAATATTATTGATATGACATATTCGTCTACGCCCCCTGTTGTTTTTTATGCAGGATATTATGTCATTTTATATTTATCAACTAAAATGATGTTGCTGGGTAATTATAATATGCCTCGGACTACGTCGTAGCAAACAAAGTACTTGACATTTACACATTTTCCTGAATATTTCGCTATATTTGCCGCAACGTATCATCTTAGTTTGTAACGGTTTTCTATAGCCGAAGATTTAATCGGAAATTTAATTCACGCATAGAATTTTTGGTGTATGTTACATTCGTACTCACGATCTTTTGGATTTGTATGTCAGAATAGTATGCCAGGAAGTTCGTTAATTGAGATTTTTCGATTTATTTTATTCAACATTTCAATGGTATTTCCAATTTGTTTGTTCTATTTACATAAATCCATAAATTACCTAATCAAATACTTAGATATTATACATTGTTAAGTATATCAATTGTGAGGCTTCCAAAAGAACATAACAATTGCTAAATCACGAATCAGTCTGCTTTCAATTGATGCAGATCATCTCTAAGCCACTTCCAGAAAAAGAGGCACTCGTCTCACCCGCAGTAGAGCTTTCTATTATTTTTTAATTGGCACTCGGCGCGAAATTGAAGCCATACTAATTGATAAGTAAATGAAGTCAAAATCACCTTACTTTTTTGTCACGTGTTTGCTTATAATACTCCACCATGCGAGGTCATTATTTATAACCGTTTCATTTAAATTATTATTTCCTTGTTTATTATAAGACAGTACAAATTGTCTAAAGCTATAGCTATTCTTGTGTTAAGTGTTAATACATTGTATACTGGTATATATTGAAAAAATGGTTTCAGCTAAATTAGGTATTTCTGTGTTTTGTATTTATAAACTCTAAGATGTATTAAATTTATTAAGATTTTCAACCGGGGAAAATAAATATATTTTAGATTCTATCGTTTTATTCCTTATTTAGATTATCATTGAAATGATAAATATTGAATAATTTAAATGTATATCTAATATAATAATACATTAAAAGAACTACATTTTTTGCATTTGACAAACTCGACTAACTGATTTTAAAAGTTCTTTCACATACATATAGCTACGTAATCAGTTAATAACATGAATTACATTTTTTTAATATACAAATCCCCACAATAAATGCATCTGTGCGTAACCGAAACTGACTATTAGTAATAAATACTTTCATATACATTTCATTCCATATAAATAACTTATAATGACAACCATGCGTTAATTTATTTAGAGTATAGACTAACTCTGAAGTGTTCTCAGATGGTTTTTAATGTCTTTAATAAGTATAAGTGATCCAGATAACTTCGAAGCGTGTGAGACATTATTACATGTCAAGTGCGAGTTATAATTAACCGTCCAAGTGGCTGATGTTAATTAAACTTAAATACACTTTGTACTCCACGATAAAGGCTATTTAATAAGGAAAATATGTTTCCTTATTAGTAGTTGGAATTTTTCATAGGTACCTAAAAATATAACTTTCAGTGCGGCTATCGTGTCGCTAAGTAACACTAAACTATTGTTTCGAAGTTGTTTGCGTCATATGTGGCAGGTACCTAATTAAATTAATCAATTTCATTATATTTAAACTTAACTACTTTTATCTTACTACCTATATGTAGGTACACTAATATACCAATATAATAAAATTTTGTTTTCGAACTATTCTAATGCTGTTGGACGCAGCTGGCCTTCTCTATTAAATTAATGTATTTTGTTAAGAACTCTATAGTTCATATAAAGAAAGTATAAATTTGAATCTTACGTTACTTGTCAAATGACCGTCTAAATGTAGCTTTACAACCAATCAATACATTTGATTGATTTATTTTTTTATTGTATTCTATTATACCGCATTTTTTGAGCTGTTTTTTTTTTAATACTTAATATTAGATTGAAACGATATCGTATACTGGCAATAGCTTCATCGAACGACAGGGGCCGAGTGCAGATGGCACTCCAAATGCATGGAAGGTCTTATGGAGCGGCTGAAGTCAAGTCCTGCCGTATGGATACGACTTTAGTCTTAGGGCACCACTGTGAGTTCTAACCCTGGCTCGTGCCGTCGTAATTTTTCAAATCGGACGGGGCATCGATCGGGCGATTATAACCGAAGGCTGAACCGTTTACTAGATTATTTCGTTAAACACCCAAATCACAGAAACTACTGGTTCAACTTAAAAAAATCTTTTAGTGATGGATAGCAGAGTTATCAAGGAAGAGCTATACAACATCGTAGTGCTGTTCACGTGTAATGCGAAGGTTGATACTTTCCATCAACGGATTCTAAACTTGTTCGTCATTCAATGTACATTAAAAAAAAGTGTTGGCGAAATCGAAACGATAGCAATCATCACGTAATGATGACGTTATTGGTAAGCAAACGGCGTGCGCGTATGTCTATTGAGAACATGCGGGCGTCGAGGGGAAACTTGCAAAGAAATACACCGTTGTGTTTTTTTTAGTATAAATACAATATAATTTATCTTCATCGTCATTATATGTTTGTTACTATTTACTTTTCTTTTACTTTCTTTACAGGAGAAAAGTAATAAAAAGTATGTAAGTAAAGTTTCCCTAAAAAGTTACTTTGAAAAAACTGCTTTCAACAATAAGGCCGCCTTATTGTAAGTATATATATGTTCTTTAATATATTGTTTAAGCCTTTACTGTATGTTATAAATAAAATATATTCCATCTACCTATCTATCTATAATTTAGACTTAGGTGTATTTTTCACTTTAACCGACTATATGAGTTAGCATTCATGCGTTGTCATACAGAAGTCATTATGCCTCTTATCCTGTAATTTCCCTGCCCAATTTGTACCCTACAAACGAAACATAACTTACAACAAGCTGCTTGGCAGCTAAAATAGGTGAGACTCTTAAATTAAAAGTGTATTAGGATACAATTATGAAAATGCAACTAGACGCAGATTCATGTAACTTTATGAACCTTTCACATTTCTTCATAAGTAGTAGAATAAATAAGTAGTAAAATCTCCCAAAAACCGTTACAACTGTGGGAATCAGCTGTTTGGATTCGCAATTGTTATATTCACCCTCAATGTATTGGCAGGTTTTGGTAATGAACACTCAAACAATTTTATACTCTACCATTATGGAATTAAAATCGAAAATCGCATTTACCGTTGTAATTATGAATCGAGACCGAATGGCAACGTCAGTTATAAGAATTGTAAGGGATACCTGATAATATCAATGAAAGTGGTACGCTATTACTGGGTCATAGGGTTTAATTTTATTCGCCATCTGCGATCTATTGTTTGGATTTTCTTAAGACGTTGGAAGCATCTTGCGTTTACCTGAAAGACTTGGTCGTTTGTTTGTCAGCAGTTGCTGTTTTTTTGCAAGATTCTTATAAAAGCAAACTTTTATAATGGGACGGAATTGGAGTTGGACGTAGCGAAACTCTCAAGAAGTTGCATCTTGCAACAAAAGATTTGAAAAACAATAAAAGTTAAAAGATTATAATTAAAAGTTAAGGAATGAGTATTGAATATGAATCTTCTATTTTGTTCATGTAGGATTTAAAATATATATATGAGACTTGGAGTGTAGTGAAATATATGACTTATTAAAACTTATTTAAATTTTTATTAATATCTAATCTTGTAAAAATTAAGTTTTTGATTGTTTATTTGTAATAAATTAAACTTACATTAATTGTTTCACATATAGAAAGTTTCATTATCAATAGATAATATGGGTTATATATATATATAGTGAAAAAAAATACAGGCCTACAATATATATCGTGAAGTAGGATTGTTAGTTAAATATACAGATTTTCTTAATAATTCTTCTTGGTTAAAAATAATTCCAGAAGTGGTAAGTATTAAAAGAAAATTAAAAAATAACATTTACAACACAGTCTGATGGAATTGGACTGACAATAAAATATTTCTTGTTTTTTTTTATCTACAAAATTATGTATTACTTAATTATCAATATTGCCCATAGACAATAAGAGAACAACATTAAGAATAAATCACATAAGCAATACCTTACCATACCATATCTTTACTCGCTGTGGTTTCTCCCCTCAAGAAAACATTCGATTCCCGTGTGAAACCCGCTTAAACGGTGCCATAGAATTTGAAATCTCACAGACAACTAATCATATTTGAAGGTATTTTTTTTCA